TCATGTTCATACTATGTTAGTGGAATTATACTCAGAGTAGTGGAAATATTCAGGTATTCAATGGAGCAACATTAAAAGGCTGGCTGCCCCTCCATCCCTCTTTCCTTGTGAGAGGTGGTGGCAAGTTCCATGTAACTCCATTTCCACAAACAAAAGCAAAACAGAAAGTTATTTCAAGTCTTTGAAGAGTTAATTTGCACTGCTACATATATATACACACACACAGCTGAATCTCGTGTATGGACGTGTGTGCTGCTACCCTATATGTAAAGCAGATGTATATATATATTATTGCACATTTGGTTTACTGCAGCTATTACATGATCTCGCATTACACAGAAGGAGTTCTGTATATTGGTCACATGCAGTATAAACTGTGCTGCAAAACACAGTGCATTAAACATTTGATGAAGAAGATAGGCACAAGTGCATGGTGTATCCTATTTTCTACTGTTGACAGACACTGAACATGTTTCCTCTAAGTTTATGATCATGAAACTACAGCTATAATTTGCCAGGCACTGTTGCAAGTGAGACAGAAAGAGCAGGAATATCAGTCTTTTATCAATATTGCATTAAGATGCTATTGCATTTTCAATATTCCTAGTATAGCTCGTTAACATGGTGTATTAGCATAACACGTGATAAAATCAGGTGCAAACCATTCTCACATTTTAGTTATAATGTTTTTAATGTTTATGGTGATATAAAAAGATATAAGAGAGTGCAAACCCAGTGTGAGCTCTGTGGATATCAAAAGCTACAGAACAGGCAACTCCTACATAGGTCAAGAATATGGAATACCACACGCTGATATCGCATTTAGCATTGAGATTTTGCTACACACTTCAGTCATATTTTTACTATAGTATTGTACAATACCAGACATTCTCAGTTCTCATATTCTGGACTGTGTTCTGTATGCTGAGGCAATACTGAATGAAATTCTTTGACTTTTCATAGTAATAGTAATCTTAACCTCATTTAACACACTACTAGAAGTGGGTTGGGTTGATTCATGAAAAATATAAATCACTGGATAAAGGTGTTGCTTCTAAGCAGTCTGTAATTGTTGGTGCTCTGGTCACATATATCATGGTTTCTGCATCATGTTTTAGTCTGTTTGCGTAGGTTCCTTCATTTGTTGCTACAATGACAACTAGCATTTATGATTTTATTAACTGGGGATATCAGTATTATTGGAAGTACCAGGTATTGTAGTCTAGCCTGTCCCTGTATTTAGATAAAATTAGATGGTTTCTCATCTGCTTCACGTGGTTTGCTGTGGATGATGTCTGGCCAGGTTTCACACCTCCTGTCACCTCGCAGCCCACTGTGGGGCTGTGTGTGCTGGAGGATACTCTTTCTCCCCTTTCACCCAAGGCTTTCTGAAGAAGCACGTGAAATCCTTCCTCCCCACTCTGTAAAGGCCAGACTTTCCCATCCTGCCGTTTACAGCTCATATGGAAGTGAGTAAACTTTGTGGCCTGCTAAGGGCTGCTTTACGAAGTGCTAAAAGGCTTTAAAACAGCAGCACCACAGAGGCTCCTGCTGCAGGAGGCAATGGCCAGGTGGGGGTCCCACAGGGCTCCACTCCTGCACTTCCCACTGGCACCCTAAATTGGGAATGGTCCTTAATTCTGAATAATTTATGCCTTTTTGGGGGGCTGCAGCCCCGCCAGCCACAGTGCCTCCAAAGTGTGCTGAACAAAGCTCTTCCAACTGGAGTAGGCTTTTTTGTGGCAGGCTCTCCCCAGAATTGTGAGCAGTGAGGTTATCTTAGGTCCCTTCAAATGTCTGAATCTGCATCAGAGTGGTACCTGCCTTTCCCAAACACTTCTTCCCTCTGTGCAAAGAATTGCACGTTTCTTCAATAAGAATTTCTGATTTTTGACCCAGGGTAACACTTAACCTCTGGAATTGGCCTCAAAAATTGAAGATCAGTAGATTGTATAAAACAAAGCTTGTAATACTTTTCTCACTCTTCCTGACAAATGCTAAATATCACCTTTCCCACTTCCATGCTCAGTGGTGCAGCCTTGGAGAACAAGAATAGAGATTGCAGCTCTTGCTGCAGTTCAGCTCTTAGGTCACATTCTCAGCTGTGGTAATTAGTAACAAGTATCTGTATATGCAAGAAAAAGGGGGGTAATTCCAGTTCCTGTGTGGTTCTAGGAAGAAACTTGAATAAATAATAATAAAAAAAAAGGGACCACCAGATTGCTATGTTCCTTTAACCCCTCTTGCACTTGGTGAATCCATAGCTGGTACTGAGAGTACTTGAAAGGTTGGGGTATGTTCTGAGCATGCTATGGCATAACAGCCAGCCAGCAGGGTGAACTGCTCTTGTGCACCAGGCAGAAAGGGAAAATACTGACAGCAAAACTTTCAAGCCCTCTCTTACAGTGAGCTTTCCTTGACCATTTCTCTCACCTTCTCAGGCACCTGACTCATGGGGAGATCTTTATTCCCACCCGTCTTTTCTTTCTTCTTATGCCTGATTGTCCCACAGGCATCTCCTGCTGCAGCAAACCAAGAGGTCTGTCTGTCAAACATAGGTGGCTGCTGCTGAATGGAGAACTTCCTCCACTCGTGATTGTAGCATGTGGAGTGAATAGAAAATTTTTCCTTTGAGGAAAAACTTCAGTCAATCTACACTTGTCTATTTAGGACAAGGCATTTAATTGGAATTTCCTTCAAACTTTATGTTTAAGTACTCTATTTACCCCATTTAATTTTCTTAAGCAGAGTCTATAGACAGATGCCTCTCTTAGGACCGGGTCTTTCTTTTTCTCATTTAGAGCATTGGGCTGCCTACATCAGGCAGCATTAAAAATTCAAGATTTGCCCTCATCAGTGATTACTTTAAATAGGAAGCAGGTTGTTATTGTATAGCAGGATACAGTGGGTTCAGGACTGAGAGTGTGGGATGGTGCTCGCTGCATGTACACCTTTAATAACAGTACTTCTGCCTCTACACATTGTTTGCATTTTCCATCTTGTGCTCTTCCATAACAGTGGATGCAAATGCAAACAGGCAATTTCTCTTGGCTTTGATGGGCTTTTCCCTGGAAAACATAACTCCCTGTGTTGTGTAAGCGTAGCTGGCAGTAGGTGCATTGACAGGGTCAGTAGAAGTATTGTATCAGTCTACCCATGAATAAAGTTCTGAAATTTGCTAATAAGCAGAAACTTTTCAGATGCTATGAGTGGAATTACTATGCTATCTTAATAAGAATTTCAATGCATTTCAATAAAAACTTACTTAATAAGTGATTTTTGTGTCAGATAAACAAACTGTTGGTACATAAGCAATATGCATGTTTTGGGAGAGGGGTGGTTTGCACTTTCCTAGTTTTTTCCCAGGGATTTTTTTGCATCATGAGTTGACAATAGAAGGAATGTCCCTGCTCCAATGAAGAAGCCAGATCCCTGCATGCGTTTCAAATTTAGGGTTGTGTGTAGTGGTCTGGATGGCAGAAGACCCCAGTAAGCAGGCAAATATAGATGTGCAAAATTGAAAGCTAATACTGAAATTAGATTTATAGCTATGTAAGACATAAATCTGAATATTGGTAGCTAAGATCCTTAGGGATTGCAGGTGTATTTTAAAATGACAGGTACGGTGTTGTTTGTATATCCTGCATCTGACCATGTTTCTGCTAGAGAACAGGAAAGTCTCCTGCTAAATACTTCAAAGCCATCCTCATCTCTTCAGAAACCCAGAAAAAGCTTGTTTGCTGCTCCTGCCCATCCTGCACACCCAGCTTATTCATTAGCAGACTAGATCCTCATTATGATGATCTCATTCATTAGCAGACTAGATCATCTGGTGCTTCCAAACTTCTTGTTTCAAAGCACCGTCTTCAAAGTCAGCAGCTGAGAGTGCCAGGCTGTGTCAGGGCTGCTCGGCCGTGGAAGCTGCTGTGAACTCGTGTCTGCTAACGAGGGAGCTGGGGTGCAGCAGGGACCTGCAGGCTTGGGGACACCCCTAGGAACTGCCAGTAGGGCACCCAGCAATGGGAGTGCCTAGGGGACTGGCTGGCAGGCTTCAAGATGAGTTCAAGTACATCATGATTGCTACACTGAGTTTTAAAGCTGGGGCAGCAGGAAGGGTTGCATGGGTGTGTGCATGGAGGAAGGTGGGAATTATTCTGTAATTTCCATAGCAGACATTTTTTAATTTGAAATTTCTTTCGTACATTCAATAATGAAGGTCTAAAATTGTGTAGCAATTAACTGAGGAGTGCTGTCCAGGTAGAATCAAATGGCAAAATGTGACTTTTTAGAAGGAAAAAAAAAAAACAAACCCAAAACGGTTCCATGCTTTTTCTCCAAGCATAAGAACATCCAGCTTAAATAGAGTATTCAATTTTTAATGAATTGGGATCTTAGTGTCCTATGATCTATGGATGAGGAGTTAAAATATGATAAATGTGCCCACACAACTGATGGAATCATGCATGGCATAGTTCCTTTGGAAGATACTAATTTGTTTTTTGTTTGGTTATTTGAGGTTTTTTTACATTTTCTGCTTAGATATATTCTTGATCATGAACATAAACTGATAAGTGATTTTCAGCAGTTTTAATCATTTCCTCAAACATTTTTACTTCTTTAAATGAACTGTACTTTAACCTAAATTGTTATGCCTCTCTCCTACTTGTAGAAGAGAGGAAGGTTTTAAAATGATCTAATATAGGACAGTATTTAGCATTCAGTATTTTCTAGCCCAAGAAACATTATATAATAATCTATAATCAAAACCACTAAAAACCTGTTAACTGCTAAATTCTGTTTCATTCTAACATTACAACTAAAACTCATTTATAAGTAAATGAAAGTCAAGAGGATTAAATTCAATTAAAATTACTTTGAAGTGTGGGGGAAAAAATGTTTCACGGTGATATAAATCAACATATTGTTATTGCCTTCTTTTCCTTATCCGCTAAGGGTCTCTAAAGCAAAATGTAGTCTAAATTATACATGGAGAACAAATAGAGAGAAAAGAATGCCACGCACCCACAAGCACAACCCAACTCAAATGAAAGGTTTGGGTGTACTTGTGGATGAATGGTGTGCTTTTCTGTATGCTTTGCAAGCCAGAACTGTGGAAGGTTTCTCCCACTTGCAGCCTCCATACCTTCATTGAGTGCAGTATAAATAGAAAGCCAATTAAAGTACATCTTTGTTATAAAAAAGAGGGAGACAAACAAAAAAACCAACACCATTTTAGTGTGCATGCATTTTTTACTGAAAGTAGGATCTCAGCAGAGAAATTAACTTTAATAATCTATGGATTGCAAGACATATCAAACCTTCAAAGCATTGCAGTGTTAGATCTATTCTCAAAAGGGTTTAAATTACTTTAATAGTTAATAATAAGTGATATGACTCATTTTTCCAAGTAAATCAAGATCGGTTGTCATTTGTACATCTGGTCTCCAAACCTCTTAATTATGGCAAAGAAATTCCTCACTACCTACTGAGCACATCTGAGGTGTGCAATACTAAAAAAAATTCTTATTTTTTCTTTTGCTGTTTGATTATTTAGGACATAAACCCAATGCAAAGCAGACAGCAATGTTTTAAGTATCCCTCTAACTCAGCAAACATCAAGCCCCACTAGAGAAACATGCAGCCACCCCACAGAGAAATTCAGGGCACATCCCTGACTGTCCATTGAGCAATTGATCTTAAACATGCAAGGAGCACTTGGAAACCCGTCTGTGTGCAGATATGCAAATCATGAACATCCCATTGAAGACATTTTTACTGAAAGCTGGCCCAAATAATCAACCTTCCTGAAAAGTCATTGTTGGCCATTAAAAATCAGCAACCGAAAATCTCCCTAACTCCTTGGCCAGAGAAGTTTGCTCCCATGAGCAAGATCAGGACCATAGAAAAACAATGCTATTGTTGTTTAAGAAAAGAACCTCACTGTCTGCTTTAAATCATATATTGTTCCCACAGGTTTCAATTACTTCACATAACGAGACGGTGCCAGCGTGTAACAATGGCGTGGCTTTCTGTCTCCATGGCTCTGGTACAATACTTTTAAATGAATTATCAAACTGATCAAAACAAACATTGTTCCCCTCATTACTGTGCTGCAACCTCACCATTAGCAGAGTTAGCATCCACACATAGTTAGCATGTAGCCAAGTGCCTGGGGACACAGATGCTTGCTGGGCAAGTTGCTCTCCCAGCAGGAGAGGCTGCAGGGCTGGGGACAGAGCTCCTCTCGCTGCCAGGGTGGGCAAGGTGCCCCTCCACCAGGCACCTGACCTGTCCTTAGTGCATGGCAATGTGTGAGCATCAACCCTATAAGATCCTGCACAGCAGCTTAAAGAGGTCTGAGGGTAGGGGTTCTTTTCAAGGGGAGATTTTAAAGAAGCACAAAAGTTGCCCTCGTGTTTGTCCATGCTGGTAAAAATCAGCCTATGAAAAGCACTATTAAGACACACTCAGCAGCAATTTCAAATGGTTAAACTATTTTGCATTATCCCTTCAAAGGCCACACAAAGTACAGGTAATTCGGTCTTGAATCCTAACATTTGTGTGGGAAATATGGAGTGACTCTTGGCTGGCTGTTTTTTGCAGTTCACAAGATTGAATTAGAGAGTCCAGAGACAGAATCATGGAATCACAGAATAGTCAGGGTTGGAAGGAACCTCTGGAGATCATCCAGTCCCAATCCCCCTGCCAAGGCAGGGTCACCTGGAGCAAGTGCATGCAGGAACCAGGTGGGTTTTGAATGTCTCCAGAGAGAAAGGCTCTGCAGCCTTGCTGGGCAGCCTGTTCCAGTGCTCAGCCGCTCTGAGACAGGGGGCAGGAAACAGATTTTGTTCTCCTCTTGCTCTTTTTCAGGTATAATATCTTGATAAGATTTTGGGTTGTTTTAAAAGAGTTATCTACATTTTATTCTTTAACTGCAGCAGTCTTTTTGCCCCTTGCTGTGAGACTTTAGCTTTGTGTCCATACCACAGCACCCACCAGCCCCAGGGCAGTTCCCTTGCAGGAGCCCAGCCAGGCTGCAGGGCTGTGCAGGAGCTCCTGCTGCAGCAGGGCTGCTCCATGCAGCCAGGCAGTGCCAGCTGAAAAACAGCAACACCCTCCCCACCTTGCCCAAATACATCCATGGATAAATACCAATTGTAATAATTGCAATTTTCATAGCCATTACAGAGAGTTGCTGTTTTATCCTCTCAGACCTGAGCTGGAGTTTTACCACTGGGTAGGATGGGATCCATGCTGAAAGACACCTCTCATGTTCATAGCTGCTTTGCTGGCAGATCTGTGAACTTTGTGCCATAAAGTGGACTTCTGCAGTTGTGCTGTTGTGATCATTTTGCAAGTATTAATTTAGGCTCACTGCACCTTAGAAACTTTCAATATAATATTTGTTTGAATATTTCTAATTTTAAGTATTCATTTTCAAAGTTAAATTAAAACACTATTGTCTTGCAACTAACCCTACTTTTTCCACCATTCCAAAAACAAAACCCCCAGTCTGATAACCTTTATTTATAGATGGCAATAAGCATATTTAGCAATTTTATTATTCATGACCCTTCTACTAAATATCATAATCAGAATACAGATGTGTGAGATAATTTCTATATGGAATTCACTGGAGTAATTCTTGTAAAATAAAAATAGCATTGTATTTAGAGAAATAATATGTCCATATTTAATGCGTGTCTTAGTACAAACTAAGAGACCACACAGTGTTTTTTTGAAAAGTCCTACATTAATAACAAGCTTCATGAATAGAAACAAAGCTCTAAAAATGTGACTTTTAGTGTTAACTTTATTTTATGTCACATGTTTATATTCTTCCATATATAGTCCTTAGATTTTTAATACAAACAGGAAAGGGACTGCTGTGTGCTTTGTGTGAACACATAATCAGCAAATGTGCAATTTCTTCTACCAGTTGCTCCCAAAAAGTTAAACCCAGTCTTTTGTTAATGCCACCTTTCCTGATGTCGGTACTAAAGATGCAGATGATCAGATAAACATCATATTCAGACTTTGCTCACTAATTGACTGAACAAGAATCGGTCACACTTTATGTACCATTCCATAATGGATTTTCATGTTTGTGAACCCTAACTGGCTGTGGAAATGGAAAGCAAATGTCGCATAATCACAAGTAACTTTGTGGTTTAGGTTTTTTTTAAACCAAGAGAACAAGCAACTTTTTTCTTCCCAGTTTATGACAGGTTCATCATTACAGACAGGTGATAAATGATCGGTTTTTTGGTTTTATCAGCTGTTGTGCTACTGTTTAGAGAATTTTTAAAATGATTGCTAAATATAACATTTTTCAGTTAGAAGTTACATGAATAATTGATACGGTAAAGTGATGCTGAAAGACACAGGTACAATAATTGAAAGTTTTTTGTCAGAGGTTTTTGAGAACACATGCCACTTATTGAGTATCTGACTATCAGCATATTAAGCTGGGTTTCTTTTTACTTGTGTATCTTCAGCAGAAGCTCTCATTAAGCGTATTGTAAAAAGATCCTTTTATGAAAATGCTATCAAGTATTTATAACTACAGCACTGAAGATCAGAGGAGGATATTGTTCAAAATCTGTGCAACATAAAACTGGTCAGAAATATCAGCATCAATCAGTGTCAAAATTAAAACTGACTTGAATTTGTTTTCTTTTAAAATCCTTTTTATTTTTTTTTTGAGTGGGTTATAATGAGTGCATACTCATTCTGACAATCTTATTTGCTGGCCCCACATTGCAATAAATCAGAAATGTGCTGATAATAAAAGGAAAATATTGAGGCTAACAAAGCAACAGGAAAAAAGCATTCCTAATAAGAAAAAGAAATCAACCCGCCACCAGCAATAATCTATGCAAAATAAGAAACCTTCTTTCACCTGAAAGTTCCTAATATGAATATGGAAATAGGGGAGCTGTCCATGAGCCTAAAGGTTTGAGTTATCAGTCCTAATACTTTTGGCTTTAAAAAAAAATACAGTCTGGATTAAAGGTTATTAGATACTCCCAAAGCTGAGTAGCAGAAGTGTGACCATCTATTACCCACCGGACACTTCTTCCTGTCCTGTATATGAAGAGATTATCTCAGATTTCTAGAAGCCAAAAGAAGGGATAATGTATATACTTCTGACATTGGCACTCTTCCAAGAGAAAGTTGGAACAATCCTGACAAATAAGGAAAAAAAAAAAAAAAAAGCCAGAACAAAGGGTGAATGACATATGGTGGTTATCCTACAATATGGTCCTTATCCCTTTTAATACATCTCTGGAAGACATAAGTGAAGCATGGCAATGCTTTCTGAAGAGCTGACATGGCTGCATTGTACTCTTGGAGAAGTATTTTTAAATTATTTTTAAAATAATTTTAATTGTTTTTTATTTATGGGTCCTGGTGGACTCAGAGGTTCAGGTTAGATCCCTGCACAAGGACTTCACTTTCACTTGGGTAGTGTGGCTGGTTTGTTCTAGATCTTCTGGGGTGACTGGTAAGCTTAGGAGTTTCTCTGGTCACAAAAATTGTTTGTGTAGGGGGAAATTCACTTTAGGAATCAGAAGTGTTGCTACTCAGGTGAACATGCTGATATTGTTGTGCTTTTCCTGCAAAGGGCAGGAGCCAGCCTCCCCAGGGCTCCAGCCTGGCACTGTGCTTGCTGCCCAACCTGCTTCTCACCCAGGTCAGGCACAGCATCTTCCACCTGGTCTTCTCTTCTCTCTAGCGTGGGTGTTACCCATGCAGTGTTAGTGTCATCACTGCTCATCACAGGCACTTTTTAAACACATGACCAAAGCAGAGAAGCAGCAGGATAGCTGGGATGAGTGCAGAGTTACATTTCCCTGCTCTCCTTTCCTCCAGGGCAGTGTTGCCTGTTGTGGTGGGATGTATCATCCCAAGGCCAGGGCCTGGACCAGCAGCCATACAGGTTCTCTGCCTGTTCAAGCAGTCTCAGTATTCACCATCTCCCTCTCTCCAGGATTTTCTGGATGAGAACACAAAAGTCCCAAATGTAGATTAGTAGTGTGGGAGCTCTCAGATGAGTAGATACTTGGAAAGAACACCCTATCTCACTG